ATTTTCTAAAGACGGAAGAAACCTGGCTTAACGTCAGAGCTGACACGCAGCTCTCTCCGGAGACGTGAGCATTTCCAAATGCGCTGCAGAGAATCATCTCGGGACGTCGCTCTGTGTAGTTACATAAGGAAAACGAACGAGCTGCGATGTTTAGGGCAATGCGCTCACCCCGGGATTGCAGGTGAGGACGGAGGCGGGAGAGGTGAAGGGAAGAGAGACGCCGGGAACTCGGTATAAATAGGATCCTAAGATTCATGGCGAAGCTGTTCCGAGGAAGTGGAGCAGACTGGCCGGGCCTATTTTGGCTCCAAGAAGGTCGTCTTAACTTCAGTACCCGTGAGGCCTACACCTGTTTTTACTGTTGGCGGAAACAAATCCGTGCTGACTCCTTTAAAGGAAATGAATTGGCCGCTGGATTCACTTGCTTAATTTGGCTTTACTGGGAAAAGCAAGCGAGGACGACCGGTTCCTCGAGCCGAACCTACAGGGACGGCCGGGGATTCTCGCTCCCGCTTGATGGGTTTCCTGGCCTAGTTCGCGAGGCTCCAGAAATGAGTCATGTCTAACGTCCCCTCGGGAGCCCCCTTTCCGGCCAGTCACGGCAGCGGGTGTTCTTTATCCTGACCGTCCTCTCATTTACGTCCAAATGTCTTTGATTCGCCTGATTTCACCAGGTGAGGACCATCGTTTCTCTGTGTTTAGGATTTAAAAAGTCAGTGTATTGTGACTGAATTCACCCAGATTTCATTGACCCCTATTTCCTCCTTTCTCTTTAAAATGCTTCTGCGTTGCGTCTCACGCTCAGTTTCACGTCCACTCTCCACGCCTGCCCCCGATGCCCCTCATTTATAAAATGATCTTATAAAACCAAAGCAGCAGGCCGAACGGGGCTGCAGCTAAGGACCGAGGACGCTTCCCGGGCCCTCGCCCCAGGGGTGGGCGGGAGACGCTCGGTCATGGGTGGCAACAGGCAGGTTCCCCTGCCGGGCGTCCCCAATTGGTGCTGAGTGTGGGTTCGTGACCTGCCCTATGTGCTCTCCTTCCGGACAGTTTTCTAAGGAACAGTGGCATCTAGATATTAAACGGCCGTATCATTTTCCCCTGCGGCCACACGGGCGAGCTCAAACCCGATGGCGTCGACCAACACAAACGTCTGACCTTACGGCTCTGCGGGTATCAGCCTTACACGGCTCTGTCTGTGTTAATTGTCGGCACCGTTACAGATGCCACTCACTTCCCGGCCCCTGCGCCCCGCCGCCCAGCCCCGCCCCCTGCCCCTCACCCCACTGCCGCCTGCGTCCTTGGCGGTGCCATCCCTCCACCTTGTTTCACCCGTTCCCCCCGCCCCTCCCCAGCGTTGGCGGAATAAATCGCACGTGGACAGGGCTGCTTCTCTCTGCGGGCTCCAGAGAGGGTGCATCGGGCTGCTTTCTGCGGCCCCTCGAGGAGCCTGTGCTCCTTGTCCCGGCCCCTCCTCCGCCACCAAGGTGCCCAGCCGCCTGGGCCGCGAGCTCTTCCCGCGCCGACTCTGGCCTCCTTCCCCAGGTGCCCTCTGCTCGCTCGCCCTCTCCCCGGCCTCCTTTTACTTTTGAAGATCTTTCTGATCCCATTGGGCCCCTGAGAAGCCAGGGTGGTCTCTGCGCCTCACGATCTGTGGCTCGGTCACACCTTCCGAGGGCCGTTTGCCCCAGGCGGGCATCACCACAGGCGCTGGGGGCACAGGTGCTCCCGTGGGAGGCAGGGCACGGAGGTGTTCACCGCGACGCTGATCTGAACCTTCGAGTGTTTGTGCATCCGCAGGATCTCCCTCCGCTGTGAGGTCGGTCAGCTTTCTTCGCATTAGTTTGTAATGAAGGACCAGCTGTGCAGGGCAGGGTCCTGTTCCCCAGGAAACTCCACTTACACAAGTTCGCTGACACACATCATCTGATCACCTTCCTGCCCAGCGTCCGCCCAGGTCACCTCGTAGGTGCTAGCGCAGGTCCGCAGACCACGGCCCACAGGCAAACCCGGCCGTGAGCTAAGGAGGGTTTCCACCTTGTGAAGTGGTCGAAAAAACATCAGAAAAGAATAATATTTTGTCACCCGGGAAAGTTCCTTAAAACACAGATTTCAGTGTTTATAAGGACAGTGTCCTCAAGACCCCACCACACGGACGCCGCGGCTGGTTTTGCACCAGGACGGGTTGAGCCACTGGACAGACTGACACACGACCCCTAAGGTTCCTACCCGGCCTTTTCCACATGAGGCTGTAACATGGATTTCGTTCTGCAAACTTCAGTAAACGTAGGCGAGCTCATGGGCTGCGGGTGGCTGAGCCCAGAATGGCCTTCTCCCGCGGTCACTGTTTGCACGGGGCTGAGAGGCCTGCGACCTGTTCCTAACAGACTTTATCACATAATCTCACTCGGGGAAAGGGGGTGGGAGCCTGCGTATTAGATTGATGAATATTTCTGGGCACCCGCGTCCCTGACGTCCCCAGTCTGTGCAACATAAATCCCAGCAAACGGGCAGATCTGAGTCCCGCATTTCTGCTGATAGGAGATTATTTCAGGGACACCGGCACTGTTGCAATTGGTCACAGTCAAGGTTTGGCTTTTAACTATAGACGGACACCGCACGTGTCCAACCCGAGAGTTGACAGGGAACAGCCGGACGTCGGGGAGCCTGGCTGTGGTTCCTTATGATGCCGCTTTTACGCAGGTGGCGGAGGGAGCGGGGAAACGCTCTGCACAGCCGCCCGGGCCTGGCAACCCTGGGCCCGGAACGCTGTCTGCACCCTGAACGAGCAACTGGGAGTCCCAGCTGCCTGGACCCCCCCAATCCTGGGCCCGGAACACTGTCTGCACCCTGAACGAGCAACTGGGAGTCCCAGCTGCCTGGACCCCCCAATCCTGGGCCCGGAACACTGTCTGCACCCTGAACGAGCAACTGGGAGTCCCAGCTGCCTGGACCCCCCAATCCTGGGCCCGGAACACTGTCTGCACCCTGAACGAGCAACTGGGAGTCCCAGCTGCCTGGACCCCCCAATCCTGGGCCCGGAACACTGTCTGCACCCTGAACGAGCAACTGGGAGTCCCAGCTGCCTGGACCCCCCAATCCTGGGCCCGGAACACTGTCTGCACCCTGAACGAGCAACTGGGAGTCCCAGCTGCCTGGACCCCCCAATCCTGGGCCCGGAACACTGTCTGCACCCTGAACGAGCAACTGGGAGTCCCAGCTGCCTGGACCCCCCAATCCTGGGCCCGGAACACTGTCTGCACCCTGAACGAGCAACTGGGAGTCCCAGCTGCCTGGACCCCCCAATCCTGGGCCCGGAACACTGTCTGCACCCTGAACGAGCAACTGGGAGTCCCAGCTGCCTGGACCCCCCCAATCCTGGGCCTGGAACACCGTCTCCAGCCTGACCCAGCAGCGGGGAGCTCACAGGTCAGCCCACGAAGGGCCCCACCTGGTTCAGCTACAAGCCAATGTCTTAAATTCTTACTGTCTACACTCACAAGCCTTGTTTTGAAAGTAGATTCGACACCAGAGATGAAAAATAACTACACAGCCCACAGCCACATGTGAGTGATATTGAAAACGTGCTTTGGGGACATTTACACGCACGTCTGTGGAGCTGCTTCAGTGCCTGGTGGTGTTTCCAAGCCCAGCTACAGCCTGGAAACCAAGGTCCAGAAAGGACGGCCCAGCTGCACAGGGGCCCAGCCAGTGAACATCGAGCTGGCACATCCCCTGCGTCTGACGGGTCCCAGCCCAGTGACTCACGCCACCTGCCAGGACAGTGGCACCCGGGGGACCCTGCTCCCTGGGAGGCACTGATTGTAGGGCTGGCAGAGGCTCCCCGGGGCAAGTAGGTTCCTGCCTTTGTTGTCTGACTGCACCTGTCAGAAAAGGTGGGCGATCTTTTAATAGCCTGACCGGAGGTGGATCCTGTCTGATGTTTGGGGGATTTAACTGTGCTTAAGATGCTCCTTTACTCAAAACAGGCTTTTGCTCCCTTTCAAATCCCTCGGCCAGTTCTCCTCGCCAGTCTCATAAATGCTCCCCTACCGCTCGGCGGTGGGAGAGGCCGCGTCCTGAATTGCGCAGACGGGCGCTGACACCCCAGGTGCTTCTGACCCAGCGTGGAAGCAGTGACTTCGAGCCGACTGCCGGGGAAACCGTCGCTAAGGGCTCGGATAGCAGACGGCGGAAGTTTGCCGTTTGCCTATTTCTTTACCTTTTAGAAGTCATCGTATTGAGGTTCTGATGAAATAAGAATTGAAAGGCTATTTTCTCATGTGCGTGTCGTTAATAAAGAATCCAAGTGTCTAATATTCGTGGACGCCTTCACTCCATCAGAAATAAACACAGCGTTTGCATGTGGGCGAAGGTAAAAGTCCCCGGACGTTCTGAGGTTTAAAGGCAGCTAATAAATGGCTCTGAAGGCTGTGGGGTGGGTTTTGTATGTGTTATTTTTTGAATTGATTTTAGAGAGAGAGGAAGGGAAGGGAAAGAGAGAAAGAGGGAGAGAAACATCAGTGTGAGAGAGAAACCCGCCCCGAGCAGAGATCAAACCCGCAGCCCGGGCCGGTGCCCTGACCTGGAATGGAACCTGCGGCATTTCGGTGCTCAGGACGGCGCCCAACCAGCTGAGCCACACCAGCCAGGGCGACTGCTTAGTGGGCTTTAAAAGTGGGTCTGGTTCTGGCTGTTTTGCTCAGTGGTTAGAGCATCGGCCTGCAGACTGAAGGATCCTGGGTTCGATTCTGGCCACAGTCACATACCTGGGTGGGAGGTTCAGTTCCCGGCCCCGGTTGGGGCACATGCAGGAGGCAACCGATGGATGTTTGTCTCTCACATCCATGTTTCTCTCTCCCTCTCTCCCTTCACTCTCTCTGAAACACAATGGAAAAAATATCCTCAAGTGAGGATTAAAAATAAATAAAAGCGGGAGTGACGTAGGACATTGGCTCTGTTGGTTCACACGGGGGATTTTTCTGCCTTGTCTTTTCCAGGCTCACCGGCATGAACCTCCCCTCGCCCGTCATCAGCAGCAAAAATTGGCTACGGCTCCATTTCACGTCGGACAGCAACCATCGGCGCAAAGGATTTAATGCTCAGTTTCAAGGTAAGAACATTTCCCCTTATAAGAAAAAACAAAAAAGTAGCAAAAGAACTACTGGTCTTTTCCAACCCTGAAATTTTAGGATTTTCTTGCTAAAGACAGGGTAAGAAATACAAGCCTGAAAAGACCTTCTGTTTCTATGAATAATTAACATTAGAAACAAGTAGCAGCTTATTTATAAAGCTTTATTACTGTGATGTACGCAGGTTTTTCTTGTTTTGCGGGAATTATTGCTAAGCTTTAATCAGTAACTATCAATTAGCATTAATTTTAATTTCTGTACCTAAAGAGTAAATATCCCAGTGCTCTGGTTATTTTTTTTAATCGGTACCCTAAGAATGGTGTAGCATAGATGTTGCATGAAAATGTGTAAGGTATGATCATCTCATTCTTAGTTCTAAAATATATTCACAGAACGTAAATCCAGCTGCCTGGCTTAGTAATTTGTATATAAATGACCCTCCAAACAACACTGCGCCCGGAGACGCTGTCGTCGGTTCTCTGTAGGGTTGATTCTGAAACTTTCTCTCTGTATCTAATTTCTCATGTTTATACCTGTATAATATTGAATCATTTCCTATATGTTTCTAATAATCAATAATCCTTAGCAGTACCATGAACAGAATTCAATCTAGTAAGAGGTCCATTGGAAACAACTCCACTTTCATTTGCAAATAACAAAAGCATGACTGTTAGAAAGTGAGATGGTTTCCCAAGCAAACTTCTCTAGTGTCCCCCAAACATGACCACAGGAATGCCAGTTCGGTTAAGGCCTCGCTCCCCAACATGTGCCACATGCGAGCCAGGGCCCCCAAGGAGAAAACTATATACAACCCCCAGAAACTTGTAGGTCAGAAGAGCGATTTGTAAACAACTTCCGTGGAAGGCAGAGCACAAGCAGGTCACGCCAGCCACCCAGGTATGTTAGTAATGCTCCAGCCCTGGTCTGGATCATACATAAATCAATATTTCCAATGCCAGCTCACTGTTCATAATTAGGTAGGTAAATCTGTAAAGTTGTTTCTCAACTACTGCTTGGTCCCCTCCAAGGGTCCTGATGGCTTGATTGGTGCTGAATACAGGAACGTGTTTGGGTACCGTCCCTCCAAACTGATCAGGGCATTTGGCATCTGCATCGGTGATTTCAACAAAGACAAACAATAGAATATCAAACCTGAAGATACTAGAAATTGGCGGATATAAGAAACATACTGGTTAACAGAAAATTGCAAGAGCTTAACCATGTCAGCCACTGATATTGAAAGAATACTGTAGGTATAATTCAAGCAGTGAGTAGAAAAATCCACACATAGATCCAAAGAGATAAAATGTGCAAAAACACAATGCAGTGTGCACGCGGCTTAACAGGCCTAGATTAGGAAAGCTCTCCAGCTGGCTTCAAAGTTCGACTCAAGACCATGTGGCAAGAGGGGCCCCCATCTTTTTTTTCATTAGCACATGGGCCTCATTTCCAAGGAGGTGTCAGGCCTGAGCGCAGGAGTTAGCAGGTGAATGTGGAAGATGGGTTTGGTACCATCACCTTTTGTAAGGAACCCGGGACAAGTGGAGAGCAGCCGATACTCACAAGAAAGTAAACTGACGAAGTAGAACCAGAGACATGGAAGCAAGGAACAGGCCGGGGGATTTCAGAGGGACGGGAGGTGGGGTGCGTGGGGTGGGGAGAGACTAACCAAAGGACTTAGATGCTCATACGCATGACCCATGACACAGACAATAGTGTGGTGAAGGCCTGGGGGTGAAGCGGCAAGGGAGGGAAAAAGGGGGGACACCTGTGATACTCTCAACAATAAAGATGAAAAATTAAAAAAAGAAACATTCAAAAGAAGACCTGAGGTGCTTCCGAGGAGGACGGAGGTTCCTGCAGGGAGGCAGGACATTGATTGTTCTGACTCCTGAGGGCAGAGCCGTCACCAATGGACGGAAGCTACAGGCCGCCCCCCGCTGAATCCAGATCAGGCGTGAGGGCACCAGAGGGCAGCGGAGGGCAGGGGACCAGCAGTAGCTCCTTTGAAGTTCAGCTACAAGACCACGTGGCCAGAGGGGCCTCTCAGAGCCCCTACCAGCCGCCCTCAGACAGGTCTCTGAAAGCTGCCCCCCGGCGTTGCCACCTGGAGGCCTCTGGGAAACCTTCCATCCCGTAAGGAAAGCCCATCGTTCATCTCTCTTCCCCCCCGGATGGAACACCAGGGAGCCCCGATCGGTACTGGACTTTTATTTCAACTAAAGAAAATAAGATTAAAAAAACAACAACATGCTGTTGTTATTACCAATACAACTGCGAAAAGGAAAAGCCTCGCTGATGAACATTCTCGAAAACCAACAAGAACAGCAGTAATAATACTAGTGAAAACCTACATGGTGTTTCCCCAAATGCTGTTTCAATATCTATGCAAATGTTCTGTCGTAGAAGCTGCATCTTGGGTGATTTGGTGAGAAGGGAACCTTTTTAAAAGACATGCTTTTCTCTGCTTACTGTCATTTCTAACATCACTGCAGTCACATTTATCATCCGTGGTTGCTCTTAAGAATATAAAAATCCCACCCGTGTTACTTGGAGAAAACGTGACTGTGAATTAGGTGGGATTCTATGAAACTCCTCTGCGGCTTCCCTCGCAGGCCCTGGTGGTGTCTCTCCACCAGAAATCGCCTCTGCGTCCGAGACTACAGTGGCCGCCTAGAGTTTTATAACTTCTAAAAACAAAGAACAGCCCGGCCAACGTGGCGCAGTGGTTGACCTCTGACCTGTGAACTAGGGGGTCACAGTTCAATTCTGGGTCAGGGCACATGTCCAAGGTTGTGGGCTCGATCCCCAGTCGGGGGCGTGCAGGAGGCAGCCAGTCAATGACCCTCTTCATTGATGTTTCTCTCTCTCTCTGTCTCTTTTCCTCTCTCTGAAATCAATAAAGACATATAAAAAATATTTTAAAAAGAAAGAATACAGTCTTTTTAACTTGGTGCTCTTCTTGGTCAGATAAACAGCCGCCACCCTAAGCATCTTCCTTCCATTTCTTGGGGTCTTTAGCTGGCACCTCCATTCTTTGTCCCCTGAATCTCACACTTTGCTCTTTGGCGTCTGTCTCCTCCGCCACCCAATCACGTTAGCGCAAAAGCAGCAGTAAAGTTGATTGAGAAGTGACAGGACCCTGTGGTTGCTACTCCTAAAATATATTCACCTTTAAAGCAGCACTGGGAACAAAAGACGTGGGAAACGCAGGAGGAGCCACCTGATGTATTTGCAACACCTGTGTATAGACCGAGCTCTCCTGCAGTGATGGATTTATGTAGGACGCATTATTTTTTACAAATCAGCTGAAAATTGAGCCCATTCTTTATATGTTGCCTCTGTCATTAATTATAATTAAATAATCACCTTGTTAGCGCAATTTGTCACCTAGACATTTTCGATGTCTACAAGATGGATTTTTAAAGGTGAATTAATCTTGGACCACGGATGCCTCTTCACTGTTAAGCAGCCGTAGATGTGCTGAGCCCCAGCTTTACATATGTTTACCCGGCTATTTATAAAAATACAATTTTCACAAAATGAAATGCCATTGATTTCTGTAACTGATGAATGATTTTGAAACCGTTTGTCATAAATTTCCCATCTGTACCGAGAACACCCTGTCCCGTAAGTCAAGGGAGAGGCTGACCGCGGATTTAAATCTTGAGCTGACACAAATAATTCGCTCTCCTTTTAGGTGATCGTTCATTTAACTATTGATTGTCCTTTTTGTTCAAAATGAAGACCTCTATAGAAAATGAAGACTTTCGTGTTGTTGAAAACGTGTTTTGGCAAATTAGGAGCCTCGTCTTTTCAGACGGATTCGGTTTTGGGTGTAACAGGCGCATCCCCCTCTGCCCAGTGCTCACCTTCCCTGCCCCTGAGTCAACTGCGAAAGCTCCACCGGAGGGGCGACGGGCGGACCTGGACCCCGCGCCGTAGGCAGGTGTTCATCTCCCCCTTTAGGACAGAAACTCTGCAAAGTAGCGGAATCATCTAGAACCTGGAAGGTGCTCGATTAATACACGTTGAAGAAATGAAGGAAATCACCTCTCCGGACTCTTCCCGGGGCCCCAGGAGCCCCTGGTCTGCAGAACCGGTGAGGACCCTGTAGGGGACGCTCTGGCTCCCTCCACTGGTGGGCACCACCTACCCTCCTCCAGGGGCACCTCTCAGGTAGGTGCGGACCAGTGACGTTTTCTTCTAACGGAAATCAATTAGCAAACCCTAATCTTACAGCCTCTGAATAATTCTGAAAACCCCTACACCTCTCAAAGAAAAATAGTTTTTAGTCGATATAAATTCACTCAAGAAACACGTATCACTTTCCCTAAATACGTACTTGACCTTCTCTCAGAGCCAAAGAGCCTTGCGAAAGGCCAGCCCCTGTGCTTTCAATAACTCAGAGGAGACGCGCGCTCGTGTTCCAGCCGCTGACGCCTGGCCTCGACTCTGTCATTAAGGATCTGTCACTGGCCGCGTGCCCTCTGCCTCGCGTCTCGCCGCCTCGCTCTGGGAAATGAGGGACACAGCCTCTGCCTCCCAGTCCCGTGGCTGAGCCGGTAAATTCGAGGGAAGCGAGTCCCGTGTCCTGCAGCCGCCCTGGGCGTGAGCACAACACCCACGGCCGCCCCGGGATCTTTCCAAACCCAGCTCACTAAACGGAGCGTGGTCGGATTTCATTTGAGAGAGAGAAAAAAGCCCCAAATCGGGCAACTGTTCCCTCACTGTCGGCGGAAGCCTGAGCCGCGGCCCCGCTTTGGAAAACCCTTTTGCTGTGAAGCTGAGGCTCAGCCCTCTCCGGACCCGGCAGCTTCCCTCTGCGTGTGGCCCCGACAGGAACGGGGACACGCGGGCGTCACAGGCACGTCCAGGGGACGTCCGCAGGAGCCCTGCTCAGTGTCAGACACGGCGAATGGCCAGAATGCCCATCCACAGCGGACACATGAGGACATCGTGTGCGCTCCAAAGAAATACT